CTGGATGAACACAGCAGGAAGGCTGATGTTTCGGGCCTAGACCCTTCATCAGAAAACGAAACGTCAGCCTTCCTGCTCCTCTGATGCTGCTTGGCCTGCTGTGTTCATCCAGCTCTACACCTTGTTATCTCAGATTTTCCAGCATCTGCAGTTCCTACTATCTCATGTCAATAGCTTGACAATGTTAGCTAAGGATCCAGACAAATCATTCATTAATAATGATTTATTGATAGTAAAACCATGACTACTAATTAAATTGAAGCTTTCTACATAGGGATAATTCATGTTGATATGTATCAATTCACTCGGAATCCATTTGTTATGGTAACGAGTACTTCCCAGAAGGAGAAAACAGTGAAACTTGTGAATGACACATACTGGTCTGACTTGACTTGTAAACCTCAAAATGGAGCTCCGGCATGACTAGTACATTCATTTCCAAGTATTACTGGATTTTCACTTTCTTTCCATTCCATGACTGACCAAGAATGTTTCCCACTTTACTGCATGCCATCACATGTGTAGAAAGGACTTGTAAGTTGATGCTCAAACTGTTTGACCATGTCATGAACACATGTTCCATCAGGCCATGGGGAAAACAAACCCAGTGCTTCTGGCTCAGAGGCAGGGACTGTAACCACTGTGCTACGAGACCTGGATAAATAATTCACAGATATAAGTAATTATAGACATGGTTACCTTGCAGTTTTACTAAAAAGTAAGTCATGGATATAATCCCTTAATAAAGTGCATAACAAGGGCTGTAACATCCTGTTCTGAGGAAGGGTCACTGGGCCTGAAATGTTAACTCTGATCTTTTCTTCACAGATGCTGCCAGACGTGCTGAGCTTTTCCAGCAACTTCTGTTTTTGTCCCTGTCACAGCAGTTCAGTGTGTGTGTAGTTTAGCATTAATTAGATTGCTGGCTGTTGGACTTAATTGTAATTAATGTTTGTAATTGCTGTAACCTGGTGAGACTGATCTAGAATTAAATTTCTTAGCCAGCTGCCAAATGAGTAACATTGGATAGCGACTGTATTGGATAGCTTAGAGTCTTACATAGGAAGAGGAGTCAGCCTTTCAGCCCCTCAAGTTTATTCCGCTATTCAATGAGATTATGGCTGATCTGTCTTTGGTCTATACCCTTAATACCTTTGCTTAACAAAAATTTACACCTATTTAAAATTAATGACTGATATAATGTCAACTGCCATTCGTGGAAGAGCATTCCAAACCTCTACCACTCTGTGTGTAGAAACATGCTGGACATTAACATCATTTTCAGAGCTTATACCATGTTGTCCTGGTAAGCAGTGTGTCAAGTTGATTCACTTCCACTTTTGCGATTCCATGTTAGTTTCTAAATGGTGGACAGAAGTAATCCTTTTCTGGATAGTGTCATCTGTTTCACTCATGTCTTTGATACCAACTGAATCAACCTTCTAAACAAATTATTGTATCTGCAAGATGGCTTAATCCACAGCTTTCTTGATCTTATGACACTTGTACAATTTGCTGTCACAATGATCTGTGCTTCTGGCTGTCTGTGTGGCCATCTAGTCCTACTTATATTACCCTTTCCTTTCTATCCTGAATATGCATTATGCCAATAAATGTACCTTTATTGGTAAATACTATAGAACTGGACAAAGTGAGTGTCTAACAAGAGAAATAAAAGCAAAGGTAAATAACTTGTTGATAGATATGAACAGCACTCTTTATAGATCCTAAATTTGCAAAGTCCCTGTCTGTACGGTTGATCAGTCTACATGAGAAATGTTCCAAAGGGTTCATTTCTTTTAGTGTCAATCAGTTCTATGACCATGAAAAGATTCTGGAAGATGCCAAACTTTATCAAGGATAGATATCTAGAAGCTCCAAGTATTACTTTTTACTCCCCAGCCTCCTTTTTTTTAACCACAGGGTACTGCGCAGAAACAGATAAACGGTAACATACTTATGTCCATTAATAAGCTATTCCTTGGCACAGTCCTCAATGTTAGCAGTCTCATCACTACTAAAGAATATCGTGTTTTAAATAAACAATTTATAAACAATAAACAATATCTTGTTTTAAATAAACAATGCCATTCCCCTGCATTCAGTTTCACCTTCACCGTGACTGCCTGTATAACAATACTCCTTTTGGACCCAGCTCATTTACTTCTGGAACATTTATACCTGCCTTTATTACTCTAAGTTTAATGATTCTAATTCTCTCACAACTCGTCTCCCATCCTCATAAAATTGAATTCATACAAAACTCCACTGCCCTGTTCAATCTGACACTACGTCCTGTTTTGCAAACATCCCTGTGCTCACTGATCAACATTGGCTCCTGGTGTATCAATGCCTTGATTTTAAAATTCTCACACTTGTTTTCAAATCCCATAGTAGCTTTGTCCCTTCTTATTTCAATATCCTCTTCTGCCTGTACAATCATAAGATCTCTTATTGAGAATAAAAATCTCTAATTCTGAATTCTCCTGTGTCCTCATTTTAGCATCCAAGGTCTTGCCTTCGGGTGTCTGGGTACTGTGCAATGGAATCCCGTCTTTAAGACATTCCACCTCTATCTTCTCCTGCAAGTGAAGCCATAAAACCTGGTTCTCCTATATTCTTTTGTAACTCACTATGAAATTTTGTGTCAAATGCTGCTTGATAGCAGCTTTCTTAGAAGCACCTTGGGACATTAATTGTGTGATATAAATGCAAATTGTTGTTAAGTGTTGATATGGTGCGAACACATTTACGGAAGATGCATTTGAGAGCATAATTCAACTGCTACAATATAGAATGCTTTCTAAACATTGGCAAACATTAGACCAACATGGACAAACTGACTTAAGGCTGAGTCCCTGAGTTATGTCTTACGAGGTACAGCAAAGGATGGGAACAGTTTGGAAAAGGCATTGTGATGGGTATCAGAGATCCTGCCAAATATAGTGGCATTTCCCGCAAATGGACAGATTGGCTGGCATTGCAGGCAAAGCTCGGGGAACCTTGGAGATGCATTTGATTTGATTTGATTTATTGATGTCACAAACCGTAGTACAGTGAAAAATTTTGTTTTGCGAGCAGTACAGGTAAATCATAATATATAAGGACGTATAGATCATAGGTTGTTTAGACAGAGTGGGGCACAGATTTAAGAGAACATTATTAGTACTTAGAATTGAGGTTTAGTGTGGAATGGTTGTAAGAAATGTGAGAATAAGATCTGCTGTAGAGATAGTCCTTGACAAACAATTGTGGGATGGTAGGAGGGATGGAGAGAGGGAGAGCCAGTTGGAAGGGGAATGGTTGGAGAATAATGCCAACGGTTCAGATGGAAAGTGTTTGGCTGTGATCACGATATAGAATGGAGATTGATGTTTAGGGTGAAGATCTGAAATTGTGGAGGGGCAGAGAAAAAGGCAATTGTTAGAGAAGGGAGGCTGAAGACTTTCCTGAGCCCTCAATGTGAGCGCTCATGATTCCCCTTTGCCCACAGGTGGTGGTGTTCAAAAGTATCTCCATTTTCCTGACTCATGGGAAATATGCACCATGGGAAGTTTCAGAATAGTGTGAAAATATACCTGTAATAGATGTCGTCCTGACATGGTCATTTGAAGTCTATTGTGGAGCATGTTTCATTATCAAACAGTAAGAATTAATTTCCATACAGCAAAGCATCTCATATTTAAAAACAAATCCCAATTTTCTCCCCTGTAGGAGTGAACTTTTTGCTGAGGTAGAGTTCTCTAACCCAGAGAGTCCTGAAGCACCTTTGAGCTCTGACTAGGACAGTGAATGTCGGTAGGAAACCTATTTATTCCGCCATTGACAGCATCAATTTCAATGCCTCACCCTTTTCCCACTTCAGAATCCCTCCCTCTCAAAACCCAAATCTTGCTGCCAAATTCCTTTCTAGCCAAAGTCTCTTCCTCTGATTTGTGTTCTAACCTTTAAAATCTCTTCCTCATTCCACCTCTTTTGTATTCTTCACGATTCACTTCCCATTTTATTTCCTGCAAAGCATTTCTTGGCATTTTTCCAATGTGAGGAGCTGCACTTTAGAATTAAACCTGACATTTACACTTACCAGTGTAATTCCCTGTCAATAACCAAACTAGTGTAGGATCATTTGTGTTTGCTGTCTTAAGACTTCGTCTCATTAGAAGTGAGGTCAATCAAGACTCTAAAGTGCTCTAACTAATAGTTTTAATAACATGAACACAGGTCATGCTGACAGATTTGCATGCAATGGTTAAATCACTAATAAAAGTAAAACGTGGAATGGCCAATTCTTCTGCCTTGTGGACGTTGAGAGGTTAATTCTCTGGTAACATCCTGGGTGGTAGGAGGTTAATAAATTACCCACTTCCTGCATTGTGAATTTCCTAGTGCAGCTGCTGCGTTGAGCACTGTCTGTAGATGGATCCTTGCATCATTCTTGCTGACAATTACAATTCTTTTGCTAATTTTCCTTTCTCTTTTGCCCATGATTTACATAGATTAATGCCAGCAAACAGCGCCTGGTGTTTACAAAGATTAGTCACAGTCCCCAAAAGCCCCCTCATCTGTACCCTTCCAGATTGTCTTCCATAACATCTTGGGTATATTTTTCCAACACGTCCTCCTGAACATGCATAATAGTTCTATTAACTAAATTTCTGCTTCTTTTTGGGAGGAAATCACTGCAGGTAAAGTCCAGGAATTCTTCGCTGGAAGTCCTGCTGAGATTATTAATGTCATTACTTTAATTTTAACTCAGCAGGACCCAGAGCAGTTGGAGTAGTCTATCTGCTACCCAATAAACATTGATCAAGGATTACACCTGGATCAGACTTATACTCTATGTCTTAGTCCCATAATAAGCTACCTGAGGAATAACCTGATAGATTTTGATTAATTTTGACAGTAATATTTAGCTTTCTCTAAATTTAGTATGCAAGAGACTGAAATTAAAAGATCAGAGAATAAGACCGAAATGGACCACAGCCTCCCAAAGTAAGTGAAGTTACTTCACAAGTAACTTATCTCTAGCATTTACGATGCCTGTAAGATGTATATTATTTTGTACAACCAATATGTCATGGAATCACAGAAACTGCAGCTTAGAAGGAGACCATTGGCTCATCATGCCTGGTTTAGCTCTTCAACTAGATCAACTTACCTCAATCATTATCTTTATCAAGGTCAGTGACTAGAAGGCAATAATTATTACGGATACAATACAATAATTGATACCCATTCCACAGAATCATAGAACAGTAGAGATGGAAACCATTTGACCCGCTGATTTTGCACTGGCCCTCGTGAAGAATAATGCAGTGAATCCAATTCCTTTCCTTCCTCCTGTTGCTGTGGAATTTTTTCCATCTCCTAATAATTCTACCTGGACCCACTTCTTCCAGCTGTGTCTTAAGCAGGGAGGCAATGATCTAGTGGTATTATCGCTGGACTGTTAACCCAGATACCTAGGGAACCTGGGTTTGAATTCTGCCACAGCAGACGGTGGAATTTGAATTCGATAAGTATCTGGAATGCAGTGTCTAATGATGACCATGAATCCATTGTCAATTGTTGACAAAGCCCATCTGGTTAATGTCCTTACCTGGTCTGGCTTACATGTAACTCCAGACCCACAGCAATGTGGCTGACTGTAACTGCCCTCTGGGCAATTAGGGATGGGCAATAAATGATGCCCAGCCACTGACGCCCTCATCCCGAGAATGAACAAAAAAAAAAGCTGTCGTCGTGCGAAATTACCACCATTGCCCAGCCCTCTCATTATTTCTGTAATGTCCACCCTTCTTACAACTCCATGAGATATTTGGATCCCTTCAAAAGTTTGGAAATTCAGGAAAGGTAGTTTCAAAGTGGAAGGTTTAAGCTGCAAAACAAATTTAAGCCCTTTCAATAATTAGTAATTAGTGGGTAGGAAACCACAATGCTTGTGTCTTCCCAGCCATGTATATCACTGGATATAATGTATGTCTTTGCAGTCACTTCATGGAGACCAGTGTCACTGCCATGTTTCACCTGTAACAATGGCTCCCCCACAGTCTGAAGCTGCATTCGTAGTGCTGCTGCTATCCTGGCGCTTACTCATTCTTCAATAGCGCCCACATGGTGATGGAGACTGGTGACTCTACCTGAGCCTCACTGAGTGACCTCTCAAAGCTGAAACCCAGCCACCATCTCTCATTGGACTGAATTTGCCACAAGCAATTTCTTACTTCTCCCTTTTCCTGAAGGATTGGGGTCTGCATATCTGAGAGAGACAGTATTACCCAGCGGGATGCTGTAGATAGTCAATTGAACTCGTTAAAGTCCTATTAAGGGCAATTTTTGAACATTAATTGTAATTTTCCAATTCCTGAGGCAGAGAAGGACCGCTTGGTGCCTGGTTGGAAGATCGAGCTTGACAATACCTTTGGCAAGGTTAAAGCCCCTTCCTGACTGATTGCAGTTGCATCCACAGGCCATCCTTTAGAGGGAATCCCCTGCCACAACAATGGCCTGCCTGCTGAGACAATCTTTCTATCTCATAACATTGAAAATGATAGAGTGGGAGAAACCTTTCACCTGGGGTACTATCTCCTTCACACACTTGAAAAGGCAACCTGCTGCTTCTTCAGTGCTGGAAGGTATCTTAATGGCCTGTCCAGCTTCAGGAGCCTGTCTGTCATCCTTAATTGAATGGCAGTAGCTTGAACTCCAAAAATGAATTGGCCAGTATGTAGAAAATCATAACTGGAGTGACTCATTCCAAACTATTCCACTATGGGGGAGGCAATGGCCTAATGACCTAATATGCTAGACTATTAATCCAGAAACACAACTAATGTTCTGGGGTAACAAGGTGTAGAGCTGGATGAACACAGCAGGCCAAGCAGCATCAGAGGAGCAGGAAGGCTGACATTTCGGGCCTAGACCCTCCTCTAATGTTCTGGGGATCCAGATTTGAATTGGGGGACTTCAATGTACAATAGTGGCTCAGCAGCAATACTACTGACTGAGCTGGTCGGGTCCGAAAGGACTTAGCTGCTAGACTGGGTCTATGTCAGGTGGTGAAGGAACCAACAAGAGGGACAAACATACTTGACCTTCTCCTGACCAACCTACCGGCTGCAGATACATCTGTCTGTGACAGTATTGGTAAGTGTGACCACCACAAAATCCTTGTGGAGATGAAGTCCTGCCTTCACATTGAGAATACCCTCTGTCTTGTTGTGTGACAATATTATTGTGCTCAATGAGACAAATTTCGAACAGATCTAGCAACTCAAGACTGGGCATCCATGAGGCGCTGTGGGACATCAACAGCAGCAGAATTATACTCCAACACAATCTGTAACCTCATAGCCCAGTATATCCCCCACTCAAACATAACCATCAAGTCAGGGGATCAACCCTGCTTCAGTGGAGAGTGCAGGAGAAGCACCAGACATACCTAAAAATAAGGTGTCAACCTGGTTAAGCTATCAAACAGGACTACTTGCATGCCAAACAGCGTAAGCAGTAAGTCACAGGCATGGCTAAGAGAGCCCACAACCAACAGATCAGATCAAGCTCTGCAGTCCTGCCACATCTAGTGGACAATTAAACAACTCACTGGAGGAGGTGGCTCTACAAATATCCCCATCCTCAATGATGGAAGAGCCCAGCACATCACTGCATAAGATTAGACTGAAAAATTTACAGCAATCTTCAGCCAGAAGTTTTGAGTGGATGATCCATCTCCGCTTCCTCCAGTGGTCCCCAGCATTACAGATACCAGTCTTCAGCCAATTCAATTAACTCTACGTGATATCAAGAAATGGTTGGAGGCACTGGATACTGCAAGGGCTATGGGTCCTGATAACATTCTGGCAACAGTACTAAATGCTTGTGCTCCAGAACGAGCTGTTCCCAGCCAAGCTGTTCCAGTACAACACTGGCATCTACCCAAAATGTGGAAAATTGCCCAGGTGTGTCCTGTCCACAAAAAGCAGGTCAAATCTAACACTGGAAAAACTAGAATCAATGGATATCAGAGGGCAAACTCTCTGCTGGTTGGAGTCATTCCTGGCACATAGGAAAATGATTGTGGTTGTTGGAGGTCAGTCATCTCAGCTCCAGGACATCTCTGCAGGCGTTCCTCAGGGTAGTGTCCTAGGCCCGACTATCTTTAGCTGTTTCATTATTGACCTTCCATCCATCATGGGGTCAAAAGTTTGCTGACGATTGCACAATGTTCAGCACCATTCATGACTCCTCTGATACTGAAGCAGTCCATGTTCAAATGTAACATGATCTGGATGATATTCAGGCTTGAGCTGACAAGTGGCAAATAAAATTCATGCCACACAAATGTCAGGCAATGAAAGACAATCTAATCACCACCCCTTGACATTCAATAGTGTTATCATCACTGAATCCCCCTCTATCAACATCTTGGGGGTTCCCATTGATCAGAAATTCAACCAGACTCACCACATAAACATAGTGGTTACTTGAGCAGGTCACTGGCTAAGAATATTGTGGGCAGTAATTCACCTCCTGACTCCCAAAAGCCTGTTCAACATCTACAAGGCACAAGCCAGGAGTGTGATGGAATACTCCCTACTTGCCTGGATGGGTGCAGCTCCAACAACACTCAAGAAGCTTGACACCATCCAGGACAAAGCAGCCCGCTTGATTGGTACCACATCCACAAACATCCCACTCCTTCCACCACCCACACTCAGTAGCAGCAGTGTGTGCTATCTACAAGAAGTACTGCAGAAATTCACCAAAGATCCTTAACAGGACCTTCAAAACCCGTGACCACTTCCACTTAGAAAGATAAAGGAAGCAGATACATGGGAACACCACCACCTGCATGTTCCCCTCCAAGCCACTCACCATCCTAACTTGGAAATACATCACCATTCTTTCACTGTCTCTGGGTCAAAATCCTGAAATTCCCTCCCTAAAGGAATTGTGGCTCAACCTGCAGCAGTTCAAAGAAGGCAGCTCAGCAGCACCTTCTCAAGGGCAACTATGGATAGGCAATAAATGCTGGACCAGCCAGTGATGCCCACGTCCCTTGAGTGAATAAATTTTTTAAAAATCACAAACGGTGGGAGCCCGTAGAGAAAATCCTGCCCCCAACATAATTGGCAATGAACTAAAGGAAGACTTGAAGAGGGTTTACACAGTGAGTTGCTATAACAGGGAAGTGCTTCCTGAAGGGCATGTAATAACAGATTCAGTTGTAACTTTCAAAAGAGAATAGGTAAACATCTGGAGGGAAGAAAATGGTAACACATTTGGGTGGTAACAGGGTTAGAGAATGAGACTACAAGGTGTAGAGCTGGATGAACACAACAGGCCAAGCAGCATCAGAGGAGCAGAAAAGCTGACGTTTCGGGCCTTGACCCTTCTTCAGAAATGGGGGAGGGGAAGGGAAAGGGGGTTCTGAAGAAGGGTCTAGGCCCGAAACGTCAGCCTTCCTGCTCTTCTGATGCTGCTTGGCCTGCTGTGTTCATCCAGCTCTACACCTTGTTATCTCAGATTCTCCAGCATCTGCAGTTCCTACTATCTCATTACAATGGGTATAATGGGCAACTATTATCATTGGACGCCCATAAGCCAAGGTCTTGTCAAAAATTATTTTTAATTCTTCAACCCTTTTTTTGCCAATGCATTGTTCACCTCAAGCTCTATTGCAAGGCTGTAAGCCCTCATTACAGCAACAAACTTGAGGCACCCATTACCTCTGTCAGAACAAATCTAAATGAAACTTAAACTATCTCATTCCTTCTTTAAAACACATAGTATAGAAATACAAATCAATCTTAAAGGTATCAATCATTTTTCTACTTTGGAAACCAAGTTGCAAGTTAATAATAGTAGTTAATAATAATAATATCATGAACCTTCTTCACAATGGAATGAAAACAAATCAATTTTTATGGGAACAGGAGTAGACCAGTCAGCTCCTCTCACTTCCCCCACCATTTATCATCCTATTTGCTGACCACGGAGTTCTCAGCAAATCCATTTGCAACTTTGCCTTTGTCTGTCACTTCATCCATTCTTGTAGCCCGCCAAGATCTTCCAATTCAGGCCTCATCCTTGATTTTATTTGCTTGACCATTGGCATCTGTGCTTTTAGCTGTCTGGATCTCAACCTCTGGAATTCCCTCCCTAAACCTCTCCATCTCTTTACTTTTCTTTTCCTTTAAGACATTCCTTGGCTGATCTTTTGGTCACCTGTTCTGATGTCGTCTTGTGTGACTTGGTGTCAAAAATGTTTTTAATAATTATTAACTGTCCTTCGACATTCTGCTATGTAACTGCGCTATATATGTATACGTTACTGTCCAATGTGATCATGTTGGAGATATCTCTTTCCTTATCTTTGATGTTTTTAATTGTGGGTTTATATTTTCTTCCTTGCTTGTTCACTAGATATTCATATCTGCTTGGAAATGGGAGATCAGCATCGATCACAGTCATGAATGCGCAAGCTGTATCTTATGGCAATTTTTCATTAAATATGTGGCTGAAACCTGAAGACCACTACAAATCTTACATCTCATTGACCGCCAGTGGCATCAGCAGCCGTACTATCTAATGTTTGAACTGTTGCCCCTCACTTTCAGAAGTACTAAACCCTGGATGAGGAGGCACTACTCTAGGTTTGGAGCAAATATTAGGTTAAACAAGAAAACAATCTGATTTGAACCGGAGGGGGGAGGGGGGAGGGGGGAAGAAAATGAAAGCCACAATTCTGGAACATTCCAAAAATTAATGGAATAAATTATATTTGTTAGTTGTTAAGTAAACAAGGATAGTTAGTTAATGTTAAAATGCAAGCAACTAGCAAGATCCCCTTGGCCACGGTGTTGCATATTTTAGTTTGAATGGTTATGGATGGAGTTAATGACTAGGTTTTGCTAAGCATTCCAATATTTGTTGTTAAATAGAATGCCACCACAGTGCCTTTTATTATGTAAGTACAACAATTAAAAGTGATTGATTGATTGTTTTTCAATTTAGTTTTGTCTGATTTTTCTTTCCATTTTGTCGCACAGAAATTATTTTAATCGGTCAATGCTTTCCCTTGGACCCTTCGTTAGGATGATTTTTATACTGGGTTCCTCTTGCAATGCATTATAAACCAACACATGTTTTCCCAACCATTTTCCACACAACCTAATGCAGCACATGTGTTGGCTACTACTCCTATATCCGGGCAGGTTCCTCTCGTTCTTGAACAGAAGAACGAGTTCCTGTTTACACTTTTTTTTCTTTATACATTCACAGGACGAGGGCGTCGCTGGCCAGGCAGCATTTTTTGCCCATCGCTAATTGCTCAGAGGACAGTTATGACTCAACCACATTGCTATGGGTCTGGAGTCACATGTAGTCCAGACCAGGTGAGAATGACAGTTTCCCTCCCTAAAGGACATTAGTGAACCACATGGGTTTTTTCTGACAATCGCCAATGGATTCATGGTCATCATTAGACTCTTAATTCCAGATATTTATTGAATTCAAATTCCACCATCTGCCATGGCGGGATTCGAACCCGGGTCCCCAGAACATCATCTGGATCTCTGGATTAACAGTCCAGTGATAATACAACTAGGCCATTGCCTCCCCCATCGCCTGCCCTCTGGACAATTAGGGATGGACAGTAAATGCTACCTGGCCAGCTATGCCTCCATCCTGTGAATGAATAAAGGAAAAAAAGCATGGGCTCTTGTGTGTATATACCTCTGAGCCAAGAAGAACTGGGTTCATGTACCACCTGCTCCAGAGCAGTGTAATAACGTCTCCGAACAGGTTGATTAAAAAACATCCCTGATCGCTGGCTTTCGATCACAATCATCGTCCCTCCTATTTGTAAGCTAAGTTTGGATCAAGTTTGCCAACTTGACTTGGATCGCACGGGTTCTTACCTTTTGACGAGCCTTCCACGTGGGACCTTGTCAAAGGCCTTCCTAAGTCCATGTAAACCACATCAACTGCACTACCCTCAACAATATATTTAGTTATTTTTTCAAAACACTCAATTAGTCCAACAGGATTTCCTTCTCATAAATCTGTGCTCGCCATCCCTGGTAAATCCTTCCCTTTCCAAGTGTTGATTAATCCTGTCACTCAGAATTGTTTCCAATAGCTTCCCTACCATCGACAGTGAAATGAACTGGTTTGCAATTACCTGGCCTATTCCTGCCGCTGTTCTAGAATAAACAAACCACACAAGTTATCCTCCAGTCACCTGGCACTTCATCTGCGGTCAGTGAAGTATTAAATATCTCTGCCAGGGCCCCAGCAATCTCCTCCCTTGCCTCCCGTAGCAGTCTGGGAAACATCTTATCAGGACCTGGGGATATGTGTGGCTGTATGCCTGATAAAACATCTAATACATCCTCCTTATTAATCTTAATATGTTTAGAATCTCATCATCCCAATTGACATCCCCAGCTGCAATGCATTTCTCCTCTGTGAACACAGATGACAAATATCCATTTAAGACCTCACCCACATCCTCTCGCTCCACGCAAAGGTTGCTTCTTTGGTCTCTCATTTCTTTGGTAATCTTCTTATTCTTATACATTTAAAAGCCTTGGGGTTTTCCTTAATTCTATCTGCCAGGGATATTTCATGGCTCCTCTTTGCTCTCCTAATTTCTTTCCTAACCAACCCCCTACACTCTCCATACATTTGAAGAGGCTCCCCAGTTTGTAATGCACTGTACCTGACATATGTTTCCTTATTTTTCTTTGTAAAACTCTCAACACTCCTTGACATCCAGGGTTCCCCGGATTTTCTGCCCTTGCCCTTCACTCTTAGAGGAACATGCTGGCCCTGAATTCTCAATGTATTATTTTTAAAAGGCTCCCATTTTCCAAATGTAGACTTAACTGCAAATAGCTGCTCCTGGTCTATGTGTGCCAAATCCTTTCTAATGTCACTGAAAATTGGCCTAATTTAGACACAACCTCTTCATTTTCCTTATTCCTTTTCATAAAAACTGATATTTACAGAGATATAGTCCCGGTCCCAAAAATGCTTGCTCACTGATTCTTCACCTTTCACTGGTTTCATTCCCCAGGGTTAGGCCTAGCACTACCCCATCTTTAGTAGGCCTGTCTACGTTCTGGTACAAAAAGCTCTCCTTGATGCACTTTATAAATTATACGCTGTCTAATCCTTTCAAGCTAAGACAATCCCAGTTAATGTTAACAAGGTTGAAATTCCCTAAAACAGTAACACTGTTTCTCTCGCAGCTCTCTATGATTTGTGTCCGTATCTGCTCCTCTATTTCCGTCTTCTACAATTTCAACATCACCTTCCTACTCTTGTACCCTTATGCCCCTAATAGAACATAAGAACTAGGAGCAGGAAGTAAGCAGTTCAGCTGCTCAAGCCTCCTATGCCATTTATGGTTGATCTCATCTCGGCCTTAGTTCCACTTTCCGACCCACACCCCACAACCTTTCAATTCATTACTAATTTAAAAATCTGTTTCTCTCCTCCTCAAATTTACTCAATGGGCTGGCATCCATTGGACTCTGGGGTAGTGGATTCCACAAATTAATAAAGACAATGTCGTTATGTTTTATTATCTGCTCAGTTTACCTGTGCTGCCACCATCGACGATCTGTGCACATATACACCAAGATATGAGACAGAACACAGGAGAGAGATAGAGAGCTTAGTGGCATGGTGTAAAAACAACAATCTCTCCATCAATGTCAGCAAAATGAAGGAGCTGGTCATTGACTTCAGGAAGCGGAGTGGAGGGCATGCCCCTGTCTGTGTCAATGGTGCTGATGTGGAGATTGTTGAGAGTATCAAGTTCCTGGGGGTGGAGATCACCAACGATCTGTCCTGGTCCACCTACGTCAACACAATGGTCAAGAAAACAGAGCAATGCCTCTACTTCCTCAGAAGGCTAAGGAAATTCAGCATATCCACAAGGACTCTTACCAATTTTTATAGATGCACCATAGAAAGCATCCTGTTTGGACGCATCATAGTGTGGTTTGGCTGCTCTTCCCAAGACCGCAAAAAATTACAGAGAGTCGTGAACACAGCCCAGTCCATCACACAAACCAGCCTTCCATCCATTGATTCTATGCTTCCTGCTGCATCGGGAAAGCAACCAATATGATCAAAGGCACCTCCCACCCCGGTTCCACCCTCTTCCACCAGGCAGAAGATATAAAATTTTGCATACACATATGAATAGGTTTAAGAACAGCTTCTTCCCCGCTACTATCAGACTTCTAAATGGACCTCGTAAATTTTAAATTAAATAATGATCTTGTTTTCTGCGTGCCTTCTCCGCAGCCATAACATTGTATTTGTTGCTTTGTTCTGTTACCCTAATGCACTTTGTATGGTATGATCTACACGCAAAATAATAATTTTCACCGTACCTAGGTACTTGTGACAATAATAAATCAAATCAAATCTCACTGTGTCTGCACCCCTTTTAGAATTGCACCCCCTTTTTAAACAGTCTTTCAGTGATCTTCTGACCACCTCACTTTTCTTTGCATTAACTCTCTTCTGCTATCTATCTGCCCACTGCACCATCTTGTCAATGTCCTTTATGTTTTGTGTTTTATGTTTTACCATCTGAAATAAACTAACCCCAGAGCTAATCAGTCACTGATGAGAGATTGATCATTGAGCCATTATCATTAACAAGAACCGTACCAACTAGTGCAGTGCTTGTAATCAATTCACAGCTAAGGAGCTACTTATGACACATGCCATCCCAGACAGACCAGGAGCGAAGCAGTGAGTAGACTCCTTTCCTCTTTACTCACGAACTAATTATCCAATCACTGTTGACTATTGAGAGATTGTTTGAAAGCACACATTAGTCAGAGATAGTAGGAACTGCCGATGCTGGAGAATCTGATACAACAAGGTGTAGAGCTGGATGAACACAGCAAGCCGATAAGCATCAGAGGAGCAGGAAAGCTGATGTTTCGGGTCATTTCTGAAGAAGGGTCTAGACCTGAAACGTCAGCTTTCCTGCTCCTCTGATGCTGCTTGTCCCGCTGTGTTCATCCAGCTCTACACCTTTTATAACACATTAGTCAGTACTGCATTCCTGACATTGTAATGAGTGGCAGTTGCCCTCAATTCACAATGAAGAGTTCAGCCACTTCATGAACGATTGGGAAATTCAACACCAGACATAAGTTCCATACTAAAAAAAAAACTGTAGATGCTGCAAATCAGAAACATAAACAGAAATTTCTGAAAAATCTCGGCAGGTCTGGCAGCTTCTGTGGAGAGGAAGTAAAATTACCATTCAAGGTCCAGTGACCCTTTGTGAGAACTTTTTTCCAGCAATATCTATTTTTGTTTATCACTTCCATACTCTTCCCAGTAATTGGAAAAGCTGAATCTGCAATGAAAACCATCAAAGGGATCATCAAGAAACTGAGCAAATTCAGCTCAGACTTGCATAATGCAATCCTTGAATAGAGAGTACACCTACTGAAAACACAGAAAGCAGTCCAGTCCAAAGGCCAATGTGGCAACACACCCAAACTATTAGTTTAGAATCATAGAGTCTCTACAGTGTGGAAACAGGCCCTTTGGCCCAACAAGTCCACACCAACCCTCAGAGCATCCCACCCAGGCCCATCTCCCCATAACCTACTTAATTGACGCATCCCTGAACACTACAGGCAATTTAGCATGGTCAATCCACCTAGCCTGGACATCTTTGGACTGTGGGAGTAAACCAGAGCACCCGGAGGAAACTCTCACAGACACAGGGAGAATGTGCAAACTCTACACAGGCAGTCATCCAAGAGTGGAATCGAACCTGGGTCCCTAACGCTGTGAGGCAGCAGTGCTAACCACTGAGCCACCATGCTGCCATTTAATAGGGAGAAAAATGGCTGAGGTCAAACAGAATAATAGGTGTGTGTGAGAAAACAAGGTAAAATAAAAGAAAGGCAAATTTCCTCTTTGACAAAACTGCCAAATCATTGCTATAGATGAACATTGAAGACTGAGTGCTTGTTTAAACATTTGATGCTCTCAAAAAAGGTCAGCCCAGACTGAAAACAAAAAATGCCAGAAATCACAGCACATAAGGTAGCATCCTTGGAGAGACAGCAAGCTAACATTTCAAGAATGATGACTCTTCATCAAAAGTCAGTCCATGTGGCAACTTGAGGCTTTTGTGAAACAGACATCATCTGAGTTCTACATTGTGAACGTGATTGACCAGGCACTGCTGCATCCACAGATATCTATGTTCAACTCGAGGAGTTGTGCTTCCATTGCAGGCGTTGGATCAAGAAGAAGGGATCTAACCAGCTGGATGATTGAGTAACCTCAGCACAAAGATTGATAGATTTTTGGGGAGAGGAGAAATGGAGAAGACATTTGTGTGAAGTATTGGCTCCTGGTTTACTACACCACAATCTAAAATGGTGATTTGTGTAACCCTCCCCTCTCTACTGTCCTTTATTTTCTTCAGTTCAGTGCTAGCAACTATGCTCAGCTATCTTGAACCTTTATCCCTAACCATCAGTCCCAGAGACTCAATACAGAAAATTAATGAATCAAATGGGTTTTTACAACATCAAAGTCACCATTAGCCAGCTTTCTTAAACAAAAATTGAGTTCAAATTTCACCATTTGCCTAAGGTGGAATTTAAACTCATGTCCCTGAGCATCGCCTTGGGTTTGTTTAATGACTACACCATTGATATTTTCAGTGGACTATCAGTTGGGATGTTATGATGTTATGAATTCCAATACAATATCTACAACAACGTGTATTTATTTATATAACACGCTTAATGTAACAAAATGCCTCATGGTACTTCACAGGAGTGTTATATAAAATTGCACACAAATAAAATCAAAAACGTGGTTAAAGGTATGTTTTTTAAATGTGTGTCTTAATAGATGGTTAGCCATAAAGCAAGAAGGATAGACTTAGGGAGAGCACATTCCACAGATTTTAGAGTCTTGTGGTGTAGTGGTAGGGTCCCTATCTCTGGGCTGGAAGTCCTCGGCTGAAGTCCAGCTTGTTTGAGAATTGTCATGACCCATATGAAAAGACTGATTGAAAATATTTTTAGTTGCAGTGCTGGGGTGAAGAAAATCAAGGATACAAGAGACGAGCTGAGTGCGGAGCTCTCAGAAGGTTTAAGACTGAAATTGCTTACAGAGATAGGGAGGGGAGAGCCACGTGAGAATTTTAGGCTGTGGTATTTGTGAAACACAGTCAGGATCTCACACTAACCTCTTGAACTATCTCCATTTCCCATTATACCTAAAAATCTATCAACTTTTGTGTTCAATATATTCAATTATCCATCTACGATTTTCAAAGGAAATGTTCATGGAATATGGTAATCACTCAGCCAGCATTTGTTGCCCATCCCTGATTGCCTCTAAGTGACTTGCTAGGATCATTTCAGGGGGCAAATAAAAGACAACCACATTGCTCTGAGCCTGAAGACATATGTAGGACATATTTCCATCCCTACAGAGAATTGATGAATCAGGTGGATTTTTACAACAATCGTCAATGTTTAGCCTTTTAATTCCAGATTTTTATTCAATTAAAATTTCACCACCTGTCGTGGAGGAACACAAAACAATACCCGTAGAACATTAGCCTAGGCATTTTGGACCACTAACTTAATGATATTACCATAATGCTGCTGCCTGACAATAGCCATTACCAAAGCAAATAAAGAAGGAAAAGCAACATAGAGGCAGGAATTTTGGTCTCATTTTACATTCTCCTGCTCAGCATTTCTGTGAAATCCACTACAAACCATCTTCTGCCTGATTCAAACAAAAAGGAGCTTAATAAAACGCAATTTATCCTTGACTGAACCCTATTGAGAGACAAATTGAAATGTGGACTTTTAGTGAACCAATTTGCAGTAAAATTGTAATCATTTCCAAAAAGTTTCCAAGGTACATTTTGTGATTCTACATTTATGATTCTATTTTGAAACTTAGGGTTCAAAACAGTTAGTTTAGCTGTAGGGTTCTTGTGGTAGGTTGATCTAGGTTGAATGGGCTTCAAATCCCACCTGGTCCAGAGGTGTGTTGTAACATCTCAAAACAGGTTGGTCAGAAAATATCTTTACTTCAGCAGTGCAGGAAAAGTAAAATATTGCGAATGTTAGTTTGAAGAAAAGTGCCAAACATTTTTATTCAAAACAACTTCGGCATAAGGAAAATATAAGACTGAAAGGAAGCAGGGGAATTTCAGATGAAAAAAATAAACAAATTAATCCCGAGAGTTCAGGTGTAACCAACTGGACCAAGAATATTTTCCTATTTTGTTTGAGCTCTCTGTAATAGCCAAGGTGCTAGGTTGGAGTACGGAACGGTTGAGAGGTACCGCTTGTTCCCCTGAAGACTGTGATTGTGGACGGTCCGCTGGTAGCAACAGGAAGTGAGAGATTTGGAGCTGAGGTTTGTTTGTTTTTCTTTCAAAGTGTAAACATTTTAAAACTTTAAATCGTTCGGATTAATTTCTAATTGGGTGGGGGGGGGCATCGATTGTGTTTGTCTTTAAACCTTTTCCCTGATTTTGGTGCCTGGCTCCAGGTCCCCCCCCCCCCCGTTCGTCAGTGTCAACAATCCCCTATTTGTAACAACATTTTAAAAAAATATTTATTATTTATTTACTTAGGCCGATCTCCATCCCATAATATTTACAGCCTCCTGTTTTATACAATGATTGGTAAAACTATCCAGGGGTGAGATTAGTTTCTTTAAAAATTAACTATTTTGTGATCATCATCCAGGAAGAAAATAAAATCTTATATTTCTGGTCTATTTCCCTGCCATTAATAATTTGACATTAAAAGTCCAGGTTAGTTCCTCGTGTCTGTTCCATCTTTCAATGAGATAGTGGCTTATCTGTGACCCAACTCCATATTATCCACAAAAACAGTTAAGTGAGTGAGCAAAGATCTGGCAAATTTGTATCTTTTCCTTTCACTTGTGAGATGTGGGTGTTGCTGGCTGGGTTGGCATTTATTGCCCATCCCTAGTTGCCCCGTGAGAAGGTTGTGGTGAGCTGCCTTCTTGAACCGCTGCAGTCCATGTGCTGTAGGGGCACCCACAATTGTTTTTTCCTTATTCATTCACGGGATGAGGGCTTTGCTGACCAGGCGGCATTTATCCCCAGAGGGCAGTTTAGAGTCAACCACATTGCTGTAGGTCTGGAGTCACATGTAGGCCAGACCAGATAAGGATGGCAGTTTCCTTCCCTAAAGGGCATTAGGGAACCAGATGGGTTTTTCCAACAATCGACAATGGGTTCATGGTCATCATTGGATTCTTAATTCCAGATATTTTATTGAATTCAAATTCAACCATCTGCTGTGGTGGGATTGGAACCCAGGTCCCCAGAACATTATCTGTGTCTTTGGGTTAACAGTCCAGCGATAATACCACTAGGCCATTAAGGAGGAAATTCTAGGATTTTATCCCAGTGTCAGTGAAGGAAGGAGATATATTTTCAAGTCGGGATGGTGAATGGCTCGCAGGGGAACTTGCAGGTGGTGTTGTTCCAATGTAACTGCTGCCCTTGTCCTTGGTTGGGAGTGGTTGTGCATTTGGAAGGTGTTGTCTATCTGCAGTGCAAGTTGTAGATAGTAGAAATTTGACATTCAAATACAATGTGGAAAAGTATGAAATTGTCCATTTTAGCAAACCAAAAAAAAAGCGTATCTGAATGGTGAGAGGCTGTGGAGCTCAGATGCCGAGAGACCTTGGTGTTCTCATGCATGAATCACAAAAGGTTAGTATGCAGGCATAGCAAGTAATTTAGGAAAGTTAGTAGAACGTTATGGATTATGGCAAGGGGAATTGAATGCAAAAGCAGGGAGGTTGTGCTTCAGTTATACATGATTGGTAAGACCACATCTGCAGTATTGTGTACAGTAATGGTCACGGTACTTATGGAAGGAGGTTGGGCACTCAAATAAAGGCAAAATACTGCGGATGCTGGAAATCTGAAACAAACAAAGAGAATGCTGGAGAAATGCAGCAGGTCTGGCAGCATTTGTGGTGGGAGAAATGTTTTGAGTTCCCTGTTTCTCCAGCAATTTATGTTTTTGTTTGTTTCAGACCTCCAGCATCCACAATTCTTTATTTCCATATTATCCATATTTACCCTAATCCCCTTTCAATGTGCTTGAATAGTAACAAATCTATCATTTTCAATTTAAAATTAACAATGAAACTGGCATCGAATGTTTTGAACAGAGGAATAAACTTCTATCAAACTGTTTCTTAATATTTAAAGTCAAACACTAGGTCATTCGTTGGTCTTTTCTGTTGAAAAGAATGCCCACTTGTTGAATCCTTACTGACAATTTCTCTCGGGAAAGAGAATATTATTCTGGTGAAGGGTCATAGACCTGAAATACTCAACCAGTTCCTTTCTTTAGTGGGTGACAGAACTTTTTATTCATTCCTGGGATTTGGGTGTCACTGGCTAGGTTAGCGTTTATTGACTATTCTGTTACAAAAGAGAATATGCTTGTCAGGCTAAAAGGAATTCTTTCCAATCCTAATTTTCTTTTCCACACTTAGGGGTCATGAGGGCTGAAACAGGAGAGGATATTGCCTAACAATGCTACCTGTGTTAGGTATTGGCCAGTAGGTAGCAGAAACGGGGACGGAAATCACAGACCCCTATCCCGAATGAAACACAGCAGGTTCCTCTAAAGCCTTGGCCCTATTTCCGTGACTCAGATGTACAGTTCTGTTCTGGACCCTGGTAGGTAGCACCCTCTTCCCTGAGCCTAGCAGTTGTCACTTCAAGTGTAACTTTAGGAGATGGAGTCCATGAACTGTGCTGACACTGAGGGATTGATGCAGTGTTGGAGGTACAGTCCATTGAATGAGATTTTAAAATAGAAGTCTGTCTACCCTCTCGTATAAAAATCACATGGCATTATTCAAAAAGAGACAACTCCACCCCGCCCCGATAATATTTATCTGTAAATAAATAAAGGACACTCTCTGGTTATTGACTTCCCTGTGTTGCTTATGCTGCTTCAGAACATATGCGAGGTGATGCATTTTGGAAGATCCAATTCAAGATCGAACTATATGGTAAATGGAAAAGCCCTGGGGAAAATTGATGCACAGAGAGATCTGGCTGTTCAGGTCCATTGTACCCTGAAGGTGGCAATGCAGGTCGATAGAGTGGTCAAGAAGGCATACGGCATGCTTTCGTTCATCGGACGGGGCATTGAGTACAAGAGTTGGCAGGTCATGTTACAGTTGTATAGGACTTTGGTTCGACCACATTTGGAATACTGCGTACAGTTCTGGTCGCCACATTACCAAAAGGATGTGGATGCTTTGCAGGGGGTGCAGAGGAGGTTCACCAGGATGTTGCCTGGTATGGACGGCGCTAGCTATGAAGAGAGGTTGAGTAGATTAGGATTATTTACATTAGAAAGACGGAGGTTGAGGGGGGACCTGATTGAGGTCTACAAAATCATGAGAGGTATAGTCAGGGTGGATAGCAAGAAGCTTTTTCCCAGAGTGGGGGACTCAATTACTAGGGGTCACGATTTCAAGGTGAGAGGGGAAACGTTTAAGGGAGATATGTGTGGAAAGTTCTTTACGCAGAGAGTGGTGGGTGCCTGGAATGCTTTGCCAGCGGAGGTGGTAGAGGCGGGCACGATAGCGTCCTTTAAGATGTATCTAGACAGATACATGAATGGGCAGGGAGTGGAGGGATACAGATCCTTGGAAAATAGATGACAGGTTTAGATAGAGGATCTGGATCGGCGCAGGCTTGGAGGGCCGAAGGGCCTGATCCTGTGCTGTAATTTTCTTTGTTCTTTGTAATTAACTGTAGAGTGCATTGGAATATCAAAGGTGCTATTTTTTTAAATTCCAGGGAATTCTTTTCAATGGCTGAAGTGGAGAAGTTGGCTGATGATCTCCTCACTCAGCCGTGGCTCTCCGTGCGTATTGGTGACTCTCCTTTCCTGCTGAAGGCCACTTTCAGCGACACTGCCTACAAATTGATGCTGTGGGATCACAACAGTGTCTGGTGGGAGGAGATGAACTCGGATGATCTGAAACAAAGGGCTCAGGTATGTCTTTGGAATGGGGTTAGAGACATGGGAGAGAGAGATGACGAAAAGGCCTGGCTCCAGTTGTTTGGCTAATCTTTGGAGCAGAGGAAAACTGTCCACTGCTAGAGCCTGTTCACCATTCAGCTGCTTAATAACAGATCTTGGCTCCATCAACCTACTATCATAACTTTTAATTCTGTGCCCTAAAAATATCGATCAATCTGAATTTTGACACCTCCAGTTAGATCACCTTCAATCTTCAGTATTTGAGGGAAAGTAAGCCTTGTGTAACACACAACCATTGAGAATGAGAGCAGGCTTGGCAAGGGCAACACTGTTCATGTGGCGGACTTGCCAAACGTGTTTGATGCATGCTGCATAGCCGACTTTTGAACAAAGTTAAAGCTCATGGATTAAAAGGGACTGTAGCAATATGGATACAAGTTGGCTGAGTGACTAATGAGTGTTGGATCAAAAGCAGGAAATGCCTGAGAAACTCAGCAGGACTGGCAGCATCTGTGGAGAGAGAAACAAAGTGTGTGTTTCAAGTCTGGTATGACTCTTCTTCAGAATTCCTATTCTTCTATTCTGAAGACGAGTCATGCATTAGGGCAATAGTTCCAGGAATTGACCCAATGACATTGAAGGAGTGGCGATATATCTCCAAGTCAGGATGGTGAGCGGCTTGGAGGCGAACTTGCAGGTGGTGGTGTTTCCATGTATCTGCTGGCCTTGTCCTTCTAGTTGTAGAAGTCACAGGTTTGGCAGGTGCATTGTGGGAAGCCTTTGTGAATTTCTGCAGTGTAACTTGTAGATGGTACACACTGTTGCTACTGAGCATTAATGGTGGAGGAATTGGATGTTTGTTGAGGTGATGCCAGTGAATTGGGCTCTTTGTCCCGGATGGTGTCAAGCTTTTTTGAGTGTTATTGGAGCTGCACCCATCCAGGCAAGTGGGGAATATTCCATCGCACTCCAGATTTGTGTCTTGTCAATGGCGGATGGGAGTTGTGAGGTTAGGAGGTGAGTTACTTGCTGTAGGGTTCCTAGCCTCAGAATTGCATTTGTAGCTACTGTTTTTGTATGGCTCATTCAGTTCAGTTCCTGGCCCAGGTTGTTGATAACGGGGGATTCAGTGATGATAATGCCATTGAACGTCAAACAGTGATGGTTAGATTCTGTCTTGTTGGAGATGGTCATTGTCCGGCATTTGAATGGCACAAATGTTACTTGTCACTGTCAGCCCAAGCCTGGATACTGTCCAATTCTTGTTGCATTTGAACATGGAATATTTCGGTATCTGAGGAGTCGTGAATGATGCTGAATATTGTGCAATTGTCGATGATCATCCCCACTTCTGATCTTTATAATGGACACAGAGTCATTGATGAAGTAGCTGATGATGGTTGGGCCTCCGACACCACTCTGAGGAACCCCTGCAGAGATGTTCTGGAGCTGAGATGACTGACCTCCGACAATCACAACCATCTTCCTCTGAGCCAGGTTTGACTCCAACCAGCAGAGAGTTAGCCGCCTTATTCTCATTGACTCCCCTTTTGCTGAGGCTCATTGACACACACTGTCAAATTTGACCTTGATATCAAGGACAGTCAATTTTACCTCACAACTCAGTGCAATTACATTGGTTTGAGGTCTGATCAGAGCTTTGTACAACAGCAGTCTTTCTCATTAAGAGCTTTCAACTGGAAGTACTTAAGGTTTGGGACATTGTGAGTTAGAATGGAGAATTCCTGGGATTGGCTGGGGTTGGAGCGGACGAGGGAGAGTGTGTTAGGCCTGGGAATGGCAGGGCCAGGCTGAGTCAACATGATTTTATGAAAAGGAAATCATGTTTAGCCACTGTATTGAAGTTCTTAGAGGAAATAATGTGTTGTGGATAAAGGTGAACAGGTGGATGTACTGTACTTGGACTTCCAGAAGGTATTTGTTAAAGTACCAAATCCAAGCTTATTGTGGCAGGAAGAATAAAGAAGAAGTAAATTATCCAAGCGGTCTGCGACAGCATGGCTGGGAGATACAACAGGATCTGGGTGTCCCGAGTGCTAAAATCACAAAATGTTAGTATGCAGGTACAGCAAGTAATTAGGAAAGCTAACAGAATATTATTGTTTATTGCGAGAGGAATTGAATACAAAAGTAAGGCGGTAATTCTTCTGGAGTACAGGACACTGATGAGACCACATTGGATACTGTGTATGTATCGGTCTCTTTATTTAAGGAGGTATATAAATGCATTGGAAACAGTTTGGAGAGAGTTTACTCGGGTAATATGTGAAATTGGAAGGGTTTCTTATCAGGGTTTGTTGGATAAGCTTTGCAACAGTAAGATTCTGAGAGTGTTCGAGGGTGGATCTGGAAAGGTTGTTACTTCCTGAGGAGTGTTTAGAAGTAGTGGTCACTGTTTAAAGTAAGGGATCGCCGATTCAGTACTGATGAAGATTTTTTTTTGTTAGAGTGTCTTCAGAGCTGCTAGGAAGTTAGAAGCAGGAGCAGGCCATTCAGCATGTTCCTCCATTCAATATGATAATGAGTGATCATTCACTTGAATCATTTTTTCGTGCACAGTCACCCGATGGTGTCTTCTACCTCCTGTTTTGAATTGCCATCAGCCTTAGTAAAGACAGATTGTGCATCCACATGTTGACTGCTGATCATTTTGTCGCAGTGAAACTAAAAGGGGAAATAAATTACAGTCCAAAAATCTTTGATTCTGTCACCCACCCTTTGTATATATTGTCATTTAATGTAGATTAATTTGATTTGATTTGATTTGTTGTTGTCACATGTACCTAAGTACATGTCCCAGGCTTCACATGCTCTCACTGAGAATGATAGACCCATAGGAACCATCAGACAAAGAATGATCACGCTGGTGCTTAGATACCTTATAGCCTTCAGGACTCACCTTTGAGTTTAACAATTTCAGAGCATGAACACCTCCTTCCATGTCTATTACCTACCTCCACAACCCCAGATCCAGCCATGAAATGGGTTGCTATTTGCACAGCCAACCAATTTTCAACAGCTGATAGCTGCCATTATCCTCTACTTAGCTTCTGTTCTTCCCTGGCTTACTATCGATAGTCCTTTTCCCTGCTTACTCCACCCCCTGCATCTCTCTCTCTCTCTCTCTCTCTGTCTCTCTCTCTCACTCTCACTCTCTTTGGGTTCCATTTTCTATCTACTCACTTTCACCAAAGAAAGAACGGTATGAGTTTTAGGGATAGACACGAGATAAGCATTTATACTCTTATATTACTGGCTGTGTTTGTGAGCTATTTAATGTATTTTATTGAGATAGCTTTGTTTTGATGATTAAACCATAATTCTGTTTGTGAAGAAACCTGGTTAATAGACTCAGAGATAGTAAGAACTGCAGATGCTGGCGTCAGAGATAACACAGTGTGGAGCTGGACGAAACAGCAGGCCAGGCAGCATCAGAGGAGTAGGAAAGTAGACTTCTTTGTTTTCAGAACTTGATATAGATAAAAGTATTTAATTGGTCATCTCGGTGAGTGGATAAAGTTTTTCATTTTTGTTGTATAAAATTTTTGATATATGTTGTGGCCAATGCCCAGCAGGACTGAAGAGATGTTCTAGCCTCAGTTGTAACAACAGATAAATGTGCATTTATGTAGCACCTTTCACATTCTCAATGTTCCAAGTGATTTATGGGCAATTAATTTTAAAGTACAAAAATCACACGACGCCGAGTTATAGTCCAACAGGTTTATTTGAAAACACAAGCTTTCAGAGTCTTGCTCCTTCTTCAGGTGATAGTAAGTAAAAGATAAAAGGGTCATAGAATTGATGCAATTGTATTAAACAAATCTAAGATGGAGTAATATAGTCAACCCTGCTCCAGTACATCATCCTGCCAGTTTATTTCACTGAAGTACTTTCAGTTTCTTGCAGAACAATTAAACATTTCCATTAGCACCGGTCTGGGGCATAGCAGGTTCCCGGTTATTATCACTCACTGTGCAGAAAGATTCTTGCAGTTCTTGTACTACTAGCTAATGCAAATGTCCTTTCTTTGGCTGCCTTATCCAAACCTGTCATAATCCTGCACACCTCAATTAAATCTCCCCCTAATCTGCTTGGATCCAAGAAGAGCCTCTCTAACTTCTCCAACCTGACCGTTAATTAAAATAAAACAAAGAACTGCAGGTGCTGTACGTCTGAAACGCACAATAAACAGAAATTGCTGGAGAAACTCAGCAGGTCTGGCTGCACCTGTGAAGAAAAAAACAGAGTTAACATTTCAAGACCTTTAAATAAAATTTTCCTCCTCTGGAACCATTCTGGTAAATCACCCCACATCCACTGAGTCAAGGCTATTCTAAATGGAAGTGTTTCTTTATACATACTGCCTGATTGCCCCTTAATGGCCTCTGTTGTGACTTAGCAAGACACGCATTCAATTTAGCTAGTGTTACCATATCCCAAGAATAAATATTTAACAAAGAGAAGAGCTGCAAGCCTGCAGACTACTGTGAGGTGGAAAGGAAAGTGCTCTTGGTGGATGAGAAACATCCTACTCACAACAAATAAAAACATGTGAGAATGCACCTCAAAGTGATAGCGGTGCAAACAGTTCAATTCCCCAATGCTGACCTCTCTCATCTTACTGAGTAGGCACAATTTGAGTACATTCATGATTCAAAATGTGATGGGTGGTAAATGTAGCGTGGCTGAAGAAGAACAGTTGACTTTGTTCCTATGATTTACGAAGCACTTAACCAAATGTCTTTTAAATGTTTTAACTGCTCCCACACCCACCACTTCCTCTGGAAGTTCATTCCACACACGAACCATTCTCTGTGTAAAAATGTTGCCCTCGTGTCCTTTTTAAATCTTTCTCTTCTCACCTTAAAAATATGCCCCCTAGTTTTGCACTCTCCCACCTTAGGGGGAAAAACCTTGCCATTCACCTTATCCATGCCCGTCATGAATCTATAAGCCTCCATATGGTCAACCCCTCAACCTCCTATGCTCCAGTGAAAAAAGTTCCAGCCTATTTGCCTCGTCTTGTGTCTGTTGAAGTGGGACATAGGTAAAGTGAGTATCAAAGGTCTTTTCCCTGGGGTGACGGAGTTCAAAACTAGGGGACATATTTTTAAGGTGAGAGGAGAAAGATTTAAAAATGACATGAGGGACAACCTTTTATACACCGAGCGTGGTTCGTGCATGGAATGATCTGCCAGAGGAAGTGGTGGATGCAGGTACAGTTATTAGATCAATCTTTGAGTATGCTTAAGGTAGAGATTGATAGATTTCTGATCAGCTGTGGTGCACAGGGTTACAGGAACGGGTTGAGTAAAAGGCGTTGATGTGTTTGATCAGCCGGGATCATATTCAGTGGTGGGGCTGGCTCGATGGGCTGAATGGTCTGCTCCTGTTCGCATGTCATTGAATGGCACTTTCAATTTACATTGAATGTAAATTCTTTCTGTCACTTGCTGTTGTTTTTGCTGCTTCTCACACCAGCAGATGCTCCTCAATGTGATTCTGTTTCCTCAGGAGCTGAACAAGCGGCTGAAGGCGCCCGTGTCAGCGTTCTGCCGGTACCTCCGTGAGGCAGTGGGCCCCCTGCTGCGAGGCGGAGGCCGTGATCCCCTCCCTGGCTTCGTGTGTGAGCGAGCTCAGAACCTGCTCAGCATCAGCCTGAGGAGTGAGTTATCCGGTGTGCCTTTCTACTGGACTTTCCGCTGCACCGAGGCCCCCATGAGTATGGTACGTACTACACCCACACCAGTCTCTGCTGGCTATTGCCGAGGGCAGGGAGATCTAATCAGAACGATTTACAGATGACTGGATAATGTTGCAGGTTAGGATGTTGGCCTGCCCATCTTCAAAAAATTTGTATTAATAAGCACAGGTGGGAGCCATTCATAGTTTTAAGGTCATGCAGCATGGAAACAGACCCTTTGGTCCAACTAGTCAATGCTGATCACAATCACAAACCAAACTAGTCCCACCTATCTGTGCTTGGCCCATATCCCTCCAAACATTTCTTATTCATGTACTTAACCAAATGTCTTTTAAATGTTTTAACTGCTCCCACACCCACCACTACCTCTGGAAGTTCATTCCACACACGAACCATTCTCTGTGTAAAAATGTTGCCCTCATGTCCTTTTTAAATCTTTCTCTTCTCACCTTAAAAATATGCCCCCTAGTTTTGCACTCCCTCACCTTAGGGGAGAAAAGCCTTGCCATTCACTTTATCCATGCCCGTCATGAATCTATAAGCCTCTATATGGTCAACCCCTCAACCTCCTATGCTCCAGTGAAAAAGGTTCCAGCCTATTTTTATAACTCAAGTCTTCAAGGCTATCCTGTTCTTGGCTTTCTATCAAATTGTGGCTGATCTGTGCCTCATGAATTTACCTGCCTTTGTCCTTTATCCCTGAAGACCATTGCCCAACAAATGTCAATCATCAACAGCTCCAACTGAAAAAGAATACTCTTTTGGGGAAGAAAATTCTCAATTTCCACCAACCTTTATGTGATAAAGGTGTTTGTTGACTTTACCCCCATACCCCCCAGCATGGTGCAGCACTCACTTTAACCTTGCTGCTCCTTGTCTTGGACTCCTCTGCACTGGAGGAAAAGCTTCTGTTTTTGAGCCAAAACTGACAACCCTGACTTGTCATTGTGCAGGAGACCAGCATCCAGGACTTTCTGATTCAGCATTGTCACCTTCTTAACGTTCTTACAAGGGACCTGCTGGCAAAACCAGCATTTCTTGCACACCCCTAATTTCTCTGGAGAAGGTGGTGGTAAACTGCCTTATGTAGCTGCTGCAATCCAGTCTACAGTGCTGTGAGGGAGGAGTTCCAGGATTTTGACAGTGAAGGAACAGCAATATATTCCCAAGGCAGTACGGTGCATGGCTTGGAGGGGAACTTGCAAGGGATAATGTTCCCATGTATCTGCTGCCCTTGCCTTCTAGTTTATAGAGGTCTGTGGGTTTGGAAGGCACTTTTGAAGAAATCTTGCTTCTTGTGCTGCATCTTGTAGATGGTGCTCTCTGCTGCCACCGTATGTTAGTGGTGAACTGAGAGAATGTTCGAGTACAGGCAGATGATGATTGAGTGACGTGTGATAGAATCTGTGTGAAGTTGCTTGCTGCAATGTTATTGCATGCTTTCAACTTTAACACAACTTATTTGCCTTAGGTGACTAAATGAAGGTAGGTACAATGGCAAAATAATTTGAAAATGTTAAATTGTTAACTTTTATATAAAATGTTCTCTCCATGCTTAAAAGCTTTCCCCCCACCCACATAGTGTATGATTGTTCACCATGCAGTTTCTGAAGAACAGGGCAGTTCTCCCTGTTGCTGACACCAATACTGCCAAAAACATTCAACCCACTACCATTTGCAACAATGGGCCAATGTCGCTATCTCATTCTAAACATCATGTATGTTTTAACAATGAGAATTAGAAATGAATTAGGAGCACAGAAATGTAAGCAATGGAAGCAGCAGTCAGGCCTGTTTCGCCCACTCTGCCATTGAGCATTTATGGTTGATCATTCACAGCGGGGAGGTGATGGGGAGTTGGGGAGTTGGGGGGTGGTGGGATGCAGTTCACAGTGTTGGTGTGGACTTGATAGGCCGAATGTCCTATTTCCACACTGTAGGGATTCTGTTCTAAGAAGCGGCAATTATAGTTCCAAACCAAGATGGTATGTAACTTAAAGGGGAACTTGGAAATGGTGGTGTTCCTATGCATTTGTTGCCCTTGACCTTCCAGGTGTTAGAGATTTTGGGTTTGGAGGATATTTTCAGAGGAGCATAGGTGAGTTACTGCAGTGCATCTTGTAGATGGTGTCAATCTGTGCTATCCAAGATATGGATTGGGATTGACTGGTCGATCACAGAGTGACTGACAGTCAGTTTCGCTGTTTACCTGTTGCTGCATGACTTCCATGTGCAGAAACTATGAGGCTAGAGAAAAGTGCATGCACTTGACAGGCTTTACCAGCTTGTGGCATCGTGTTTCAGTTTGGTCCAGAGTAAGTGAGTTTTATGGTGACAATGCAAAGGAATGAATAAGAAATATACTAGGAATGGAAATGTGAAGAAAGTATATTACAGTGCTAGGAACATCAGAGGCTATGGAGCACATCATGTCCAAGTGGACTCTCTGCGAGATTAGTTCAGTAAATCCCACTCTACTGCCCATTCTCTGTGGACCTGCAGTATTTTTTCTTCAGCTGCTTATTTGATTGGTCCGTACAGATTGAAGAAAAATTTTGGGGACATGCTCCACATCCAAAATGTCAGCAAAGTAAATTGACCAGGGGCCTCAGAACTGTAGGGAAAGGGCGAGGTTGATGCAGTGAATGCATTCAGACTGAAACTGAGTCTGTGTTCTTCCCAATGAAAGAGTAAAATGATGCAACACTTCCCAAGTCTGGAGAAAATACTAGAAAAATCCAAGTCTAGGAAAAATCAAAGGCGAAGAGAAATGGTTCCATTCAGAAAACCTGAGGAGGTTAGCAGTAGAATTCAACAGGTGATTTCAGGAATTGTCTCAAAACCCGTTCCTTCAGGTACGCTTTGGTGGGTTGGCTACAAAATTCCATCATATGTTTGATTTACAAAGCAGTGGAGATAATTACGACTGTAAAATTATTTTGAGCTGAAAGTCAGATCAAGCGATCATGATTTTTGGGGACTCACATCTTGTTTTAAAAGTGAAAGGTTACTTTGACTCCACATACCTCTGTGAGATAGCATTCTCCCAAATGAAGATAACCAAGTATCATGCCCATCTCATAGATACCCATTTGATGGGCTGTATATGACTGTCAGTTTCAAACTACAACTCAGACTTCAAGGCAGTGGCAGATAATGCACAGCCATGGGTGTCACACTGAGACTTAGAGGACAAAATTTATAGTTATATATACTTGGTTTGAAATTTATATAACATTAAAGTAAATACTTTTCCATTTTCTTCCGCATATATCCTGGTTTGCACTTAATTTCTAAAGGTGATCCTCTGTTTAAAAAGGTTGGAGGTCACTGCTGTACATTGTGGCCTTAATTCCAGTCCAAAATTTCTCTCATTCAACCTTAAACATATTGAATGAGCCAGCCACCAGTGTTAGCTGTGGAAGAGAATTATAAATATAACAAAGAACAAAGAACAAAGAAAATTACAGCACAGAAGCAGGCCCTTCGGCCCTCCAAGCCTGCGCCGATCCAGATCCTCTATCTAAACCTGTTGCCTATATCCCTCTGCTCCCTGCCCAAATATCAATAACCCTCTGAGAGAGAACATTCCTCCTCCACCTTCAATGGGAGAAACACCTTATTCTGAAATCCTGCCCACTTGTTCCTCACGAAGGAATAGCGGGGGAGGCGACAGCCTAGTGGTATTATAATTTAATCCAGAGATTAATCACTTAATCCAGGTAATGTCCTGGCAACCCGGGTTCAAATCCTGCCAAGGCAGGTGGTGAAATATGAATTCATTAAAATTTGGAATGAAGACACTAATGACGATGATGAATCGATTGTTGGAAAAACCCATCTGGTTCGGTAATGTCCTTTAGAGAAGTAAACTACCATCCTCACCTGGCCTGGCCAGACCTACAGTAATGTGGTTGACTACGAACCCTGCTCTGTGGGCAATTAGGGGTGGGCAATAGATGCTGGCCCAGCCAGCAATGCCCTCATTCTGTGAGTGAATAAAAAAAAGTGGAATCATCTTCTCAATGTCTACCCTATCAAAATCCCTCAGAATCTGTATGTTTCAACAAGGCCCATTCTTCTAAACTACAATAATTTTAGGCTCAACTGCTACACCTTTCCTCATAAAGTGATCCTTTCATCCCAGTCTAGTGAAGCTTCTGTGAACTTCGACCTAAGCAACAATCCAGTAGTTTCATGGATCGTATTACTGTCACTCGCTCTCTTAGTCCGATTTATTTAATTATCTGAATTTGAATTCCCCCATCTGGCTTGGTGAGATTTCAGCTCATGTTCCTAGATTATTAATCCAGATCTCTGTTCTACCACTACTGTAAAATGATCACTACACTGCCATTCCTGTACATCTCAAATTTGTCGTGTGAAAACTTATTTAGGAGATTCAAGAGGTTTAGTCCTTCTGACCGTCCAACGAGGATAAGCTGCTGTGTCATCATTTTCCACTAGGGGGTAGAACAGCACTGCTTTAGACATTGGCAATGGTTTGAATCTGAGCCTGACATCTGAAAACAGACAATAACGATCCACCCATATCTGAAACTTTATTTTTCTGTCTCATATTTTTATAATTCATTCTGCTTCACAGTGGGATGAAGGAATGGTGGCAGAAAATATCCTGTTGAGTAGAAATGCTAGCATAAACTTGGTGGGCTGAAGGGTCTGTTTCTGGGATATGAATTCTGTGTTCAATTTGCACAGAATTCTAAATTGGAGTCCAGATTTCCCTGTCCCTTTTTCCTTGATTTTTGTGATTGATGTCATAACATAATGAATATTGGAATCACTGTTGGCTGGTGAGGTAGAGGCAGATCTAGCAGATCAAGAACTTCCCGGCAGGACTTGCAGAATATTTTGCAGTTAGCGGTGACTATGTACTCAGTAGACTGCCTGTTTAAGCTGTGAGTTACAGCATTCAGTCTGTGTTCTCAATGAACACTGGCTGTTTAAAGAGTCTCCCACAAACTGCAGCAGGTAAAACTTGTGGCTCCCAGACTACAGCAAA